AAGGGGACTAGGGAATAGGGAATAGGGAACACGGGAGAGGCGAGCACACGTAAAATGCCCAATGATCGTCTCCTTGGGGGGATTTTTCTTCTGTTCCTTGAGCCCTGTCGATCTATTGATTTCCTTCTTCTCGTCTGCTTTTACATTTGCTGTCTATGGCTGTTATACTATTATTGCTTGTGATTCAATTTTTTTTCCCTGAAGAATCCCCAGGCATGCTTTAATATAGCCTCAGGGGGCCAATATAAACCATCGGCAAAGGTTCCACTTTGATATGTGATAGATGAAAGGTACTAAACGCACCGTGAGAATGGAAGTCCCAACTATGGAGTACTTCAGGCACCTACATAAAGGGATCAAGGATTCCTCGGTTGCCAAAAATAGTCAATATCCGGAATGACGTTGGCATTCCAGATCGATTGTCATCTTTCGGGAATGTGTGCAGTTACAACAATGTCTCATCTTTAAAGGTCCATTTGAACTCCAGATCTCACACAGTCCAGAGAAATCCGAAATGGCCCCATCTGTCGAGGTCACAGTCCCTGTGGATACCAGAAGATTGGTCATAATGACTGGTGCCTGGATTTGGCCCGTTCTAATGATAGTTCGCGCTGCATATAACACCTCGAAAACACCTCGAATTTCGAACATTATATCAATCTTTCCAGCCAGCCTAGCCGGCATCTAGAATGCGAAGCAGTACTCCGTACAAGGTATTCTTATCAAGGATTCCTCGGCTTGGAATGCAATCACAAATCAGGTCAGTGTCTGAACCAAAAAGATAATTGTGCTTGCACACACACGCGGACTAGCTTGCAACCGTTGAAAAGGCTATGTTGTACTTCGTAGAAAGATCCTCGACTACTGCACTTGTAGGCTTTTTGGTCGAAGGGGAAACTCCAACAAGATCTAGACCTCGGAACTACCGCACTAGACCGGTATCGGAATACCACGTTGTATTGCCGCGTGTCATGGCGACCCGCAGCCCTAGGGTTCGATGCAATCACGGGCGATGCCCGGATGTGGACGGAGAGCCTTGTTTTAGGCTAGAAGCCAGGTATAATATATAATATATAAAAAAAGAGTTTATGTATGTTGTATGCAAGAATGTTCCGCAGGCACGGTCTTAAATGGGCGTGTTCCAAAGGATTGAGAATCGAGTTCAACTCAGCATGTGCTGTGGAGAAACCACGAAGATAGGATATTGAACAGTGCAGATCGCTACCTTACAATCCAAGTCGATCTCCAAGGATGTAAACTCGAAATTTCATTCACTGGTTTTCCATTCATTACCGTACCATGGCCCAATGCAAGAATGGAACCTCTGTCATAAACGCCACACACATAAAATGCAAACAAGATGGTATAAGACACTAAAGAAACCATGCAACTGGGGCACCCCCGACCCTCTCTTTAGAAGGCTGTTTAGTGGGCGGTGGACTGAGCCCGCGGCAGGTGAGGGTTTGAGACCGGGATGCCCGCACGGCGCTTGGACTGGGGTTTGGGTCTGGAGAGTGTGTATCTGAGAGGTAGATATTAGTACAAGGTTCCACTAGATTCAAGGACTGAAACAAACATACTTGGCAAATGCACGCGAGAGTGCCTTCTTGCAGCTGACCTTTTGGCTGCCGATGAACGAATCCACAGTAACAGCGATGGCACGGTCAATATCCAGCGAGGAGCAGTACTCTGACAGGCGCATCTTGCAGAAAGATTCTGCAATACGCATGATGGCTTCAAGGTGACGAACCTAGAGATGCGCATTTAGCAAATGGTCAATGTGCAACAAGTGCAGAGATAACTTACTGTAATGGGGTACGCTCCAGTAGCAAGGGACTCCCGGCGCATGTCTGCAAAAAGACGAGCGACCTTGTCCTGGTCGATTTGATAAAGCTTGGGGTGGCAACGCTCGCGGGCATACAGAATGTACTTTCGCAGGAGCTCCTGCGGGATTTCGCCTTCCTTTTCCTCTTCGGCTCTTTGTTTCTCTGCGGCGCGTTTGGCGATCTCCTCCTGTGATGGAGGAAGTCTCTGGCCATCTCTGTTAATGCGGTAGCCCTCATTGTCAATGAGATTGCCGTCAGTATCAACCAAGTTGCCCTTTTCGTTTCGGAGAGGACGGGCCGGGTTGGAACGGTGGTGCGACTCGATCACGAAATTGGCCAAGCGCTCATCCTCAGCAGGATCAACCAGGTCACGCACCACACAGAGAATATCGAAACGAGACAAGATAGGGTCCGTCAAGTCGACATTCTCTGAGAAGGGGATTGAGCTGTTGTACCGACCACCCTTGGGGTTAGCGGCGGACACGACAGCACAGCGAGCCTGCAATGTTGTCACAATACCGGCCTTGGAGATAGAAATGGTTTGCTGTTCCATAGCTTCGTGAATAGATGTCCGATCCTGGTCGTTCATCTTGTCAAACTCATCGATCAGACAAACACCCCGATCAGCCAACACAAGCGCACCACCTTCCAACGTCCATTCGCTGGTGAGAGGATCGCGGCGAACACTGGCCGTGAGACCGACGGCACTAGCACCCTGACCAGTAGCAAACACAGCGCGGTGGGCGGTCTTCTCAACGAACTTGAGCACTTGAGACTTGGCGGTACCGGGGTCACCAAGAAGAAGGACGTTGATATCACCACGAATATTCATTTTGCCCTGGGCCTGTTTGCTAACACCACCAAAGAGCGAAAGTGCAACGGCAGTCTTGACGTCCTGGTGGCCGTAAATACTGGGTGCCATAGAGCGAACAATCTTGTCCACAATATCGGGGTCACGGGAGAGGGCGCGGATTTCGCGCTCATCCTCTTCTGTCAGGTTGAAACCAGCCAGCTGGTCGTGTGCCTTGACTACATGATTGGCCTCAATTACAGTGGCGAAAACTGGGAAGCCGTTTTTGTTGTTCAGCTGGGCATCGTAGCTGTTGCGGTAGACACCGGTAATCTCAATCTCATCACCAGGTTTGGCACTGTCGATCAAATCGGCAAGCAAAACGACCTCACGCTGCCGCGGCAGACGACCTGCGGGAACCGTGCCGGGTGACTCTTGCAATGTCAACTTCTGGTAGTTGCGGTAGACTGTCTTTTCCGAATTCACAGTGAAGGGACCACGCGACTGGCAGTTCTGACAAAACGAGATCTTCACCTCCGCACTAGCTTCTTGCTGGAATGGACCCAAGGTGATACCGCACTTCTGGCAGAGGAACATGACATACTTCAACTGCGGGAAAACGCCAGTTCGACGGGTAACGACACCGCTGACACGGATCAGGCAGTTGAGATGCGACTGGCGTAGCTGACGGAGTGTGTAAATGATTGGTACATCGGTGATGCGGACGTGGATCTCGTTGTGAATATCGTGATATTGTGGGTAGTGGAATAAAGTGACGTCAAGCGCGACCTGATCAAATACCTTCAGGACTTCCGTGGGCTCGTTGGCGAGGAAGTATGACAGAGCTGCCTTGGTCTCGCTGAGGTGGGCATAGGACACTTCCAGTGAAGCAGAGTTCACCTCACCCAGTGTCTTGATTCGGTTACCGTAAACCGACTGGCCGGTAGGGTCGATGAACTCTGTCAGGAAGGCCTTGAATTCACGGTAGATGGAGCGAAGGACCTGGGGCTGTGTGACCCAGTCCGTGATGTTGGCTGCCTTGACATCTGCCAGTTCCTCCAATGACAGTTCTTCCATGCCCTCGTCGGCCATGTCAATATCTTCACGGTCCTCATCGTAATGGTGTCTGCGTCGTCGGGGTTGGCGCGAGAGGTCCAATTCCATATCGTCATCATCTTGTAAAAAGGCCGCAGGCATCCGGCGCCGACGTGCCAGTTCACGATCTCTCTGGTTCAGGCGAGCATCTAGCTGCCGACGGGTTGCGGTATCGATTTCATCATGCTCTTCGTCGTCATCGATGTATCCTTCATTTTCATAGCGATCTTGCGCTGCGTCACGATAATCCCGTTCAAAGTTGTCACCAAACAGGTCAATGCCATCCTCATCTTCAGCCAATTCATCAATATCATCAATGTCTTGCACAAGACCTCTATCCTCATCCTCATCTTCATCTCCCATGTCAAAAGGGATCGGGGGAGGGGATGAGCCTAAGGCAGTGGCTGCACAAAACCATCATCAGTCTCAAATTGACGCAACTCGGACAAAGAAGCAAACATACGACTGGAAGGAGGCAATGGAGCTGGGGAGGACATGTCATCCTCCCTATCTCGCTTACGAGTGTTGGCCCCTCGGCCACGGTTTGCGGCCGAGTCGCTGGCTCGGAGCGGACTGTGTTGCATTAGCTTTTTGATCGCAGAAAATTCACGAGGCACACTCACTCCATTGTGTGGGTGTTTCAACTGGGAAATTTTAAAGGAAAAATGAGCAATGGCCAGCGAATTATGAGTACGGATAGGTGGTGTGTATGTTTCAGTGTCTTTTTCTCGAATGTGTGGTAGCGTGGTTGATAGAATAAAGCGAGGGAGAAGGGGCGGCAAAGTCTAGTTGTGCAGCGAGTCGCGTGTTGGACGCGACGCGATTCAATTAAGCCCCAATTGGGAAGCCGGGATTTCCATTTTTGACTTTGTACATTCCTATCCAACACCTTCCTGGTTTCTTTTTTATTCCCTCCATATCACAACTTAATAAAAAATATGATGAAAAGTCGAAAATTAAAAAAAAAAAAATTTAGCGGCTCATGGCAAGATTGAGGACGCAAAAAGTCAATGATCGACGCAGGGATCGAACCTGCGACCTTCTGTGAAGCTCCCACATGAGAAATGTAAGACAGACGCCTTAACCACTTGGCCAGTCGATCATGAATTATACATTGTTGTTCTGGAAACTGTTTATCAAGGCAGTCTAACTCGATCGTTTTGGCATGCTTGAATTCCTGCTTACAGGATCCTCGGACTTGGAAATCATTCCAAGTTTGGACTAGTACCCTACACAATCTGCGCTCATCGCTCAATTTCTTCTTTCGCCTATCAGGTGACTTGAGAGCTTCTGTCGATCCTCATTCATGCTCTCAACAGATTCCCTCTCGAATTACGGTAATTTTTTTGAAACCGAGATATGGACCCATTGCCCAAAGGAAAAACACCGGTGCAATAACCCCATGCAGGTGCTATCACCGAGATAGATAAAAACATTCCTCTTGTGGAGTGGGGATCGCAGGTACAGTGGAGATGTGGATACCCATTGGTCCTTCAAGTAAGAGATGTTGAACGAAAT